AAATTATTTATTATCAGTAAAATAATGCTTACTTAAAAACTGAATGAGTCATTATTCAACAAAACATGTACAAGCATGCAACAACTTACTAAGTTTAGGAGAAACATACAGTTGTGTAAAACAAATATGTCTTTTGCAATAAATTGAATCAAACACTTATACACTTTGTCTCACAAGTTTATGTAACAAAATCACTTTTTAAATGTCTTTTCACGTTGCACTCTATTTTTTAATCTAGTTTCTTGATGAGATTTTTGATCGTATTTATTGCTTTCATAAAATCAGTTGCACATTGCATGAAATGCAGTAACATGTTAAATATTTTGTGAGTTTGATGGTGTGATAGTTTCTGATAAATCTCAGTCAATAGAAAATGTGGAAGAGATCCTGAGATCTTTGTGTTCCTCGTGACCCCCTGTCGTCCGTGTTAAAGCTGTATTCCTGCTTCAACACACCTAATTCAAATCATTTACCTACTCAGAATGTCATCGAGTTTAGCAGGAGCCTGTCAATCAATCATTCCAGGCAGGTGTGTTGAAGCAGGTAAACATACCAAACATGTAGGACAGTGGGTCATCTGGAACAGGTTTAAAAACCTCTGATTAATTTCAAGCAAAACCACCATCTTCACACAGTTCACGTTATGTAAAGGATAATAAAAATTTGTTTTGCATGAGTTTGATGTAACAGAAACATCACAAAAATGTGGTTATTTTGTTAATTAAGAAAAGAAATCAAACTGTTCTGATATTCTGATTACACTCTATGCAGATGATACATTATTAACCTCTGTTCTTCTTTTCTGGTTTTCTTCACTGTTTGCAGGGCTGTGGTACACATTCAGGTCAATGATGTAAATGAGTTTGCTCCAGTGTTTCGGGAGCCGCAGTACCGAGCTGCTGTGACAGAAGGAAAGATTTACGACAGCATTCTGCAAGTGGAGGCCACAGATCAGGACTGTTCCCCACAGTACAGTCAGATCTGTAACTACCAGATCACCACCACCAACACCCCTTTTGCTATCGATCGAAATGGTAAGTAGAAATGAAAGAAACATGTTCAGCAAGAACAGACGTAATATGATATATTAAAATGAATCATTGTTTTTTCAGCTATTGACTATGTACAATGTGCTGTGCAATGCAAGCGTCTTTAAAGTGCATGTTTTACCCAGTAACCTCCAGTATCATGTCAAGTCCAAAACTGTCTTTAAAATCAATATTTGCGCATCTGCTTTTTGCACATCTTATTGATAAGAAATGCAGGAAAACCTATTTCTAACATATCTACAGATGTGCTCCAATCCAAAAATGTATTTTTAACGTAAAAATGACCTTAATTGCCATAGCATAAAACACAAACAAAAGTAGCAGAGCTTGACACTCGGACAGAAATCTCTCTCCAATGTAAGGTGGGTTTTCTTTTTTGCTCTTTTCATGGATGAACAAAAGCTTTGCTCTGAGAGCAACCAGTTTTAGCAAGCTCCCTCTGAACAGTCTATCAAAAAGGCTTTTTTAAAAAAGGGACGTCTTAGAAATTATTACAGGATAAAATTAGATACTCTTGGAAATTGACTTTCTGATACGTAACTTCTGGGGATTAAAAAACACTTTTGTATAATCATAATAAAATGAGAACCTCTTGTATTTTTCCCCAAGTTTTATCTATCAGGAATCAATAGTAATGATCTGGGGTCGGATTTATAAAGGATTGCGTGGAAACCATACTAAAAGTGAAAGTACGGCCAAAAGGTTAAAATGACGTATGCCAAAAGAAATTCAGATTTATAAAACCGTGCGTACGCATGTTTCTGTGCACCTTTCCTTTATAGATCACAGCTGTACCTCAGAGTTTGCGCACGAGGTCCCGCCTCAGGTTCTACCTCAGGTTCTACCCTCTACACGCCCACAATCAACCATAAACGGTCAATGCAAAGTATCTCATGAAAGTTAAGGTGCATTTAAATCCTGTCAGCTGATCAATGCCAAAATAGGAGATTGGCTCAGACAATCACTCCATCGTGCATCTGGAGTATGACAGGTGCTGATGACTGCTCACAACTGACACAGATTTTCCCTCATTTTGCAGGTTTACAGACGCTTAGAGTAATCTAATGATTTCTTTTCATAAACTCAGCTTCAAATGTATTTTCTCTCAGAGCCTGGAGGACAATAAAAAACAATAAATAAAACTAAATAAGTCAAAGTTAGACATAAGTCCCCGCCCCCCTGCGTCCTACCCCTTCCTGCCTGCTCTGTTATCTGC